GTTTGAGATGTTGGAAAATTGGAAAGTTTGAAAATTTGGGTTGAAAGATTTAATGTTTAAAATAGAAATTTTACCTTCTTGCACTTAAAGCGGATGGTGGGGGAATGGATGATAGACCTGATCAAGATCCCATGGTTCCATCGTCCAGACCCATCATGGTCCCTGGTCTACTTAGTCAGAGGAGGTAGTCAACCCAACCTGATAGAAGGATCCTTATCGGCAGCCTTGGGTTGCTTCGTCCAATGGAACCTTGTAGACTTGGGGTGAATGTTTGTCTAAGAGGACAAATTTGAATTCGCCTTAGCTAACAGAGGGCTTTGTGCCATATCGATCATATCCTATTGATTCTTATCTCAAGGATTTGATGTCACTAAGGAGCGTATTGGCTCTGACCATAACCGGTATTTTGTGGTGCCATTTGACAGCAAAACCACTCGGTTCAGAGGGCACTGTGTCATAACCATTTATCCAACGGTACCATTTGACGACAAAACCGCCGGTTAGAGGACACATATCACGTCCTTAATGACAGGAGATTGTTTGAGAATGGATCCTAGTGATATATTCGACTAGGCATTAGCTCTTTGTGAACTAAAGTAATATTCAAAATTTTCCATCTCAGCAAACTGTTGCGGAGGGTGGATGGATTTTGCTTTATGTGTTTGATGGATTGATTTTTATTATAAATATTTTTGGGTTTTTTTGTGATTTTGGAGTTTTGGGTTTTTCTAAAATTTAATTGAAGTTTTGGGAAGCATTTGAAAATATTTGGAATTAACCCATCCGGTTGAGATTTTCTATCAACACGGTCATCATCAGGGTGTTTGGGATCATTTGAAAATATTTATGTTTTGAACCTTGTCGACTCTGTATAGTAGTCGACCGAGGATCAGATTTAGGTTTTATGTCTTTATTAGTGAATTATTTTAATTATAGGTTTTGAAGGCATAATATGAATGTATAAAATAAATATCATGGTCGACCTTACGACCACATATTTATTTGATGGTTTGAGCCGTGTCAACTCCTATCTACTCACATAGAAGGATCGGGCTCAGACTTGAATTCACTTACAAACCCGCGCAGCATCCCTAGACGTTATGTGTGTACCAAAAACACGCTCGTCGGGGCCCATGAAGGTGATTGGGAGGCATTTTATAATTATTTTCTAAACCCTGTCGACTCCTATTTACATGTTTAGGAGGATCTGATTTCGTAGGCTTTATGTATTTATTAGTGAATTCTCTTTATTATAGGCACTAAATGTCTACTATGAATGTATTAAAATAAATATTCTGGTCATCACAATCGTATATTTATTTGATTGTTTGAACTCTGTTGACTCCTATTGATCTACATAGAAGGATCAGGTTTCAACTTAAATTCAGTTATTGACCCGCGCAGCATTCCTAGACGTCATGTGTGTACAAATAACACACTCGTCGGGGCCATGCAAGTGTTTGGGGGCATTTTTATAATTAAACCCTGTCAACTCCTTTTTACCTACACAGGAGGATCATGTTCAAATTTAATAACCCGCGCAACATTCCTAGACGTCACGTGTGTATTAATAACATGCTCGCCGGGGCCCGGGTTATTGTAATTGTATTTACCTATTGTGTATCTATGTGTATACAAACTACGGTGCATGTGTATGAGTATTTTACAAATATTTGTAAATGCCTTCTGTCTGCTTGTACAAAGCTTCCAGATCCGGTGGCGTGTTGTAGCAGCTTCTAGATCAGTTGTTTGCTGTTTTGTACATGTAGACTGTCGTGCACTACTTGCATGATTTGCATAGGTAGATTATAGTGCACTAACGAATCTCGTGCTTTGGCATATGGATAGTTTCATTAGCTGTAGTTTCTTACATTATGCTTGTCGGATATTTAGTATGTACACTGGGTATTTTACAATAGTTTGCAGATGCTTGCACTTGTTGTAGTATTATCAATCTTTGCTTGTAACAGATCAACGTATTTGCTCAACATTGGATAGTGATTGATTATAGAGGTGTTGTGACATTCATCGCCTTCATTTGAGTTGTATGGCTTGCTTGAAGTTCGTTTGAATGAAACTTCTTGAAGCAAATTACATCGAAGTCCACAAGTCCTTATACATTTGTTTGCATGGTTGACATTTGCTTGTATGGTCTTTATTTGGATACACTTGAATGATTAGAATCATTATTTGTACTTGCTTATTACCCTATGTTACAATCTTCTTGCTGCTTGCAAACAGATTATACTGATAAATTCTGTCTCCGATGATGATTTATAACATGCATAACGAGCATGACATTATTGTTCATTGGTGTGTGCAAATGTATCTATATCTTGCTTATTACTTGTGAATGAGATGTAGTAGGGACCTTCTTTCTCCACTATACATCTTCATCTGCTCATCTACATCCGCTTGAATGATTAATTTCTGTTTATTGAGCTTATATATTATGATTGCTCATCTGAATATCCTCCTAAAGTTCTTTGTTGATGATTGTTTGCAATCAAATGACGGTTGAATTCATATGAAGACCTCTTGCTACGAGTCCCCTGTAGTCCATCCAAGTCTTTGCTTGAATTCAATTATTCAAATCAGGTTTGAATCAAGTTCTTTTGGTTGAGCTTTGATTCAAGTCCTCGTTGGTCAAATTACAAGTCCTCATTATTGTTCAAGTAATGAGGTTCAAATTATAACATATCCTATTGTGTTTTTTATTTAGGTTCAAATTGAATTAAAGCTCTTTATATCATTTTTGAGTTCATAAGTCCCTCTTACTTGGTTCAAACCAAGTTCATAAGTCTCAAGTGACATTGTTCAATTCAAGTTCAAATGCATGTCCACAAGTCCTTTGTTGTGTTCAAATAGGTATCATTCTTTTGTTCAAATTCTTGCTTGCATTCGAATTCATTTCATATTCAAATTCATATCATTTAAGTTCAAGTATTTTTATAAATCACTTTGTGTTCAAATGCAAATCCAAATAATGTTCAAGTACGATCTTATGTTTACCCAAAATTTCAGCAGCCTCCTAACGTCTCCCCTGTTTAGGGTCAAACTATAGGAAACTGGGTCTTTCCCACCACCCTAAGAAAAATGTATATGGTAGATGTCCTCGAACGAGGACACCGCGACCATATTTTTTTTAATCCCCCACTATGCTAAGAAAAGTGTGTATGAGTCTTCGGTACCTGTTACAAAAGAAAATCAGTTGTTTCCCCGCAAGCGGGTACTTATGGGTATCCCCGCTTCGTCGTACGCATCGCACCGGGTTCCCATCCCACCACGCTAAGAAAAGCGTGTATAAGAGGTTTTTCGGTGCGCTACGAACTGTGAAGAAGGGACTTTAGGTGATCACCCGATTCATCGAGAGCACCACGACGAACTTCCTCCCACCACGCTAAGAAAAGCGTGTATATGTGATCGTTTTGTCACGTTGCAAGCGTCGAAGTTTTTAAGGTTCGAAAGATTATACCTTGAGCTAAGTAATGAGTTGGAGGGCTGAGTTAAGTTGAGTTGGGTAAGGATTGAGTGAATTGAGTTGGGGGCTGAGTTGACTGAGTTGAGGTAAGTTGTTGAGTTGGAGTGAGGTGTTGAGTGTAGTTGTTGTTAATATGATTTGGGCCGATTTTGGTTGAGAGGGAGAGTGTGTTATGAAGTGGTTTCGGCTATATGAGATGGGGTTAGGATTGGGCTAGGGCAGGAGTGGAGTAGTGTCGTGGGTTGAAGTTCGGTCGGCTATAGGTCTTGGCAAGAGGAGGAGGTCGTGAGGGAAGATCGGATC